TGCCTTTTAGCTTCAGTTCAGAAATGCCTGCTTTGTGTGAATAATACAGAGGATTCTGTATATTAAGTGACAGTTGCCCTATATTTACACACAGGAAGCAGCAATTGGCATTTCGTTACAGATGCCCTCACCTCAGACTCACTGAAATATTCTATTTCAGGCATTGCAGAGAAGGGCAGAGCAGACACAAGCTTAATGGAGCAACCCTTTCCCAAGGTCTGAAGGAGATGGCAGTGGAAAAGAGGGAAGGAAAACAGTAGGAAATCATATATATGAGAAGAGACAGGCAGAGCAAATGACAAAAATAGCTGTTGTCAGAATAGGCAGAATTTAACCAGCGACTGTTTACATCAGTTCTTGTACAAAAGTACAGAGTTCCCAGAGGCTCCATTTCAGCTGAAGCTGGGGATGTGTCTCAAAACTGGGCTCTGTTTTCATGTTGTGCTGCTGAAGAGGTGCCCAAAGCTACTGCATGGAAATTCCCAGTCACCTTGCAGCCAGAAAGGTGTTTCCTCTTGAAGACTTGAGGTCTGCTGAGAACCATCTATAGTGTGTGGAGACACCACTACTGTGTGCACTACCAACAAACACTTGCAAACTTGATCTCAAATACCAAGTTTCTGTACATCCTCTCCCATGTGTGCAACAGAGAATATGAAGAGTACAAACCAACACTGCAGCTTGAACTTAGAATCATAGAATCCCAGACTGGTTTGGGTTGGAAGGGACCTTAAAGCTCATCCAGTTCCAACCCCCTGCCACAGGCAGGGACACCTTCCACTAGAGCAGGTTGCTCCAAGCCCCTGTGTCCAACCTGGCCTTGAACACTGCCAGGGATGGGGCAGCCACAGCTTCTCTGGGCACCCTGTGCCAGCGCCTCAGCACCCTCCCAGGGAAGAGCTTCTTCTTTATATCTAACCTGAACTTCCTCTGTTTCAGTTTGAACCCATGACCCTTTGTCATATCACTATAGTACCTGATGAAAAATCCCTTGTAGGCCCCCTTCAGTTTATTTAGGAGATACGTCCTCATATGCTTGCCCTGTTAATGCATTCCTCCCATGGGATCTGGTGTTCAGGAGAGAATATTAGGCTGAAGGGCTTTTGTTCTGAGCCTCTGTGACCCTCTTGCAGTCTTGCACTTAGGTTCAAGTTGTCTGCATCCTTCTGTACACTAGAATGAACTTGCCAAGATCTCTAGCAACAGCTCAGCACGATCTGTGTCATGGCTTGGAAAGAGGGTATCTCTCTCTTCCCTCTAAGAAGTAGTTTCTACCAGCTGCAGTGCTTGAGGCAAGGGCAAGCAGCCTGAATTTGCTTGGATCAGTCTGGACTATTGAACGATCGTGCCCTGTGGCTATTAGGCAGCACTTAAAGGGAACTTCTGTTTCTCGAGCTGGAAGCTGGAGTGTTTGTTTGCTAAGCCCATGGTAACCAGCACCAGCTTCTTTTAGAAACCCAGTCCTTGCTTTCTTTTGTTGTTGTTTTGGTTTGTTTCTTACATAAAAGATAAAATATACTTTTTCTACACCTGTAGGCTCACCATGGCCATTTCCAATACTGGTTTGAAAAGAAACAGTGAGGACCTTGCTGAAGGCAGTTGCACCTCCAGTAGCAGCGCTAAAAACTCGTCCCCTGCTAGCCCTCAGGTCAAAGTGATTCCCTTGTATTCCTCAAGCTGATGAGGCTGGAGGTGGAGACACAACACTGTCCTCTTTTCCCAGGTCGTGATGTTACACTACTGCTGATACTCAGTAGTGAAGTGTCCTAGAACAGTCTTGGCTTGTCTCTGCCAAGCATGAGCACCCCCAGGGGTCAGATCTCCCGCAGAGAAGCTGTAAGGATGCTGAGCGATCAAGCACTAGACAGCATACAGGGTGGGAACCTGATGGCTGCTGTCACCTAGATTTTCTCAAAGCAACGGAGAGTGGTCCCACAGTTGCTGTTACATTTCAGCAAGCCTTCCCCACTGTCCTGCTGTGAGGCAGCAGCATATTTCTTCATCCGTGTCTCTCAGTGAATAATAATGGACAGTTGGATCTATTTATACCTTTAGCTGAGTTCAGCAATTTGCTCCAGCTGAAGCAACAGTCTGGGGGAGAACGGAATCTTCTCTTTGATTCATGGGGGAGAAGGGAATCTTTTTTCCTCTACATTTTTTAATTTCCAAGAGTCTGAGATTGGAAGAACCAGTCAGCCATCAGGGATTGTGTTTCTGGAGTTGGGAAGAGCTGTTCACAGTGGTGCTGGGAGGACACGAGCACATGACGTGGGCTGCCCATGGCACAGAGCAGTGCCACCACATCCAGTTGGGCACATCTGGCATTGGCTCAGGGGAGTCGGTTTGCCAAAAGGCCCCTGCATGGGGACTGCTGCTCTGTCCACTTCCTGCCACCTCTCCCCTGCTCTGCCTTCCACAGCAGCTACGGAGCATCACTTGGGCCTGGTAGAGTGATGGGAGGTTTCTGCAGCCAATTCATTCATTTCAGAAGTTGTGCTAAACAGAATTAATTGGCCTTGCAGTTGTTTCTCTTAAGGTCTTCTGAGTATTTTCTGATACTGGAAGTTTTTAGGTGGTTGTTGCAGGTGGATATTCTATATTCTTTTTATCAACTTTTTGAAAGGATATTGGGGACCTTCCTGCTATTGAGAACTACTGGGGTGTGAAATAATTTCCCAGGAGAAGTGACAGAAAGCCTTAATATCTCAAATGTTGAAAAGATGACTGAAATTAAGTCTACAGGATAATAATTTTGCACTAGCAAGAAAATGAGTGATCTAAAATCAGTAATTCCTGCTCCTCTGCAATACAGAGCATGGA